ATTCTTGTGGGTTCATAATGAGACTTCTGTACTACATGTGCTTAAGCATTTGAATGCCATTAGCCTCAGCAATACTTTTAGTTAAATTACTATATAAATGATATATATTGTTTCAATGATTATCATTTTTATTGGTAATAGATAGCAAAATTTCATTGCATATGTAATGGTTAAAAATATTTATATCCCGACCAGGCACAGTAGCTCACGCCTGTAATCCCAGCACTTTGGGAGGCCAAGGTGGGCAGATCATGAGGTCAGAAGATGGAGACCATCCTGGCTAACACAGTGAAACCCTGTCTCTACTAAAAATACAATAAATTAGCTGGGTGTGGTGGCAGGCGCCTGTAGTCCCAGCTACTTGGGAGGCTGAGGCAGGAGACTGGCGTGAACCCGGGAGGTGGAGCTTGCAAGTCAGCCGAGATCACGCCACTGCACTCCAGCCGGGGCAACAGAGCGAGACTCCGTCTCAAAAAAAAAAAAAAAAAATTATGTCCTAATAATTAAAATCACCTAATTCTGCAACAATTCAGGCAGTAAAATCATTCAAAATTTTTTAAATTTATAAATTGAACAAATGTACAAAAGAATTATAATTATGAATTATGTAGTGAGTCAATATTACCCTTCAAGTTCTGAAGAGGGGAAATCAAAGTTTGGAACTTACACAGATACATCATACCCCCAAATCCATTAGTAGAAACCTCTTTGAATAGAGACAGGAAGATGTGTTAGTTGAAAATTTTGTTTTAGAAAGAACAAATTTATATAGGAAGATGCTACCACTTTAATTACAAATCATGAAAAAGTTGAGAACCCAACAGTAGTTATAAACCAGGCTTCTCAATTACGGTGCACATTAGTATTTCCCAGAGAGCTTTCAAAAAAATACAGATGCTCAAGCCTTAACCTCTAGAAAGTCTGACTTAATTGGCTGGGTGGGGTGTGGCACACTTTTTTAAAAGCTCTTCTGGAGATGTTATTATGCAGCCAGGATTAAGAACTACAGTCATATAGACTATAAATGGGGAATTAGGGACAATGATTACAGATGGGAAAAAAAAAAGAGTGGAATAAAGTGTCAAGATACATTTGGTAATATACTGAATAATTCATAGATTTTACAAATATGTATTAAGATGTGTACAACATAGCTCTTATCCAAGACATTTAAATTCAAAGCCCAATAGAAAGATCTAAAATAAAAACACAAACCATAACAAAACATGGTAGGAGACTGTAAAATTTCATTAGAGAATATAAACGAGGTGCTCTGAGAGCTCAGAAGTCACCAAAAATGTTTACATAAAAAATAATTTCAAAGTCAAAAAATACAGAAGGAATGAGAAAAAAGAATACATACATAAGCATTATTTGCTACTAATGACTAGAAAAAATGTGATGTTAGGTTAATAGTACACAGAAAAATGGTAGACAAATAAAACTATTAAAATTCCTTTTTGAAAATAGAGATTTGCATTTGTGGTAGTTTAACTACTGGAAAATTTTGGTATGAAAATTTCCTTTAAAAGCAATAGAACCAGTCTGGGCAACATAGAAAGACCTTATCTCTACAAAAAAATAAAAAAAATTAGCCTGGCATGGTGGCACAGACCTATAGTCCTAGCTACCCAGGAGGCTGGGGCAGGAAGATCATTTGAGCCCAGGAGTTCAAGGCTATAGTTGAGCTATGATTGCACCATTGCACTCCAGCCTGGGTGACAGGGCAAGACTGCATATATATGTATTAAATAGAGCATTTTTAAAAAGCAATAGAAAGAACATTATAGCCAAAAGCAAAACCTGGACTAAGATCCATAAAATGGAAAGACTATTAACAAATAAATTCAAAAGAATCCTTTGCTTGTCCTACTGAAAGATTTCTTATTTCAAGTAAGACCCTATGCTTAGTATATGGCCCACAAAATGACTAAAATGTGGCCTCTGATATAAAAAAGACAAAAGCGTGTGAAATTCAAGTAGAATATTTCTTCTTTCCTAATGGGAGAGTATAATTATCTCTTATGCTTATGTTACCATAAGAGACCTCCAATACATATTTTCCTGGATAAAAATCAATCTATAAAGCATCCAAAACTAATTCTTATGCTTCTAAATAAAGTTAAATGGCCTTAAATATATCTGTGAAGCTATACAAGAAAGTAACTAATGTTGATATTTAACAACCTTTAGCAAAAGGAAAGATAAAGTCAAGAAAGTAAATCATCATACAGGATTTGACAGATTTAAAACAAAACACAAACAAAAGAATGGGGTTACACCAACAAGTCTTAAACTACTTCAAGTATGATTCAGTATTCTTCCTTGATTATAAAAACATTTTCTTTTAGACTACTTTTGTTTTTGAAAATAATTTGCTATATGTTTATCAGAAGTTAGAGACTCAAGTTCTGATACCAAACTTTTAAACAGTTATAAACATATTGGAACTGACATTTGATAGGAAACTTTACAGAAATGTTTTATATGAAGAAATAATATTCTTTACACGTGGTTCTAAAAAAAAAAAATAGAAAGATATTGAGCAAAATGTAGAAAATCAGAACATCTGAAAGTCTTTTTAAAAATCATAGACATTTTTGGCCGAGCATGGCGGCTAAGGCCTGTAATCACAGCACTCTGCGGGGCCAAGGAAGGCAGATGGTTTGAGCTCAGGAGTTTGAGACCAGCCTGGGTAACATGGCAAGACCCCGTCTACTAAAAATAAAAATCAGGCCAGGCGTGGTAGCTCACACTTGTAATCCCAGCACTTTGGGAGGCCGAGATGGGCAGATCACCTAGGTCAGGAGTTTGAGACCACCCTGGCTAATATGATGAAACCCTCTCTCTACTAAAAATACAAAAATTAGCTGGGCACGGTGGCGGGCACCTGTAATCCCAGCTACCCGGGAGCTGAGGCAGGAGAATCGCCTGAACCCGGGAGGTGGAGGTTGCAGTGAACCAAGATCGTGCCACTGTACTCAAGCCTGGGCAACAGAGCTAGACTCCATCTCAAAAACATAAAAAATAAATAAATAAAAATTAGCTAGGCAGGGTGGTATGTGTTTTTTAATCCCATCTACTCAGGAGGCTGAGGTGAGAGAATGGCTAGAGCCGGTGGTAGGCGGGGGGACTGAAGGTGGGAGCAGAGGTTGCAATAAGCTGAGAGCACACCACTGCACTCTAGCCTGGGCAACAGAGCGAGACCCTGTCTCGAAATAAATAAATAAATAAATAAATAAATAAATAAAAGACATTTTTAAATGAAGAATATTTTATACTTTGAGTTAAGTTATCAAAAAAAGTAAGGTTGAAAACAAAGGTAAGCTCTTCCTTGAGCTCATAATAAATACAAGATTATAAAATTTATATTCTGTAGCCCAATAAATCATAAACTACTGAGAATAAATAAATATCCAACCCACTTCTTAAAATCACTTTTCATGAGTATTGACCATAAACTCTGAGTCAAGGAAAACAAAAGTAAACTGCATGAACTTTGAGGTAAAAATTAGAATAGTTTGAGAATTTGTGTTTGCCAAGGCAGCATTCAATCTTTGATTCTACTTCTCAGCCCTGTACTATCTACAGGATATTGGCTCCCAATATTCAACACTCATGATGTTATACAGTAAGTGATGTTAAAAATACAGCTTCTGTCATTATAGAAATTCATTTTTTAAGGCAACGACAACCCTGACATTTATTGAAAAAATATATACCACATACAAATTCAAAAAAGATAAATCCTTATAATTTCAGAGGTGAAAGAAAAATTAAAAATCATGTAGTTTTCCTGGGTTCCATGCTGGGGAATTCAAAGTAGACTTCAAAAAAGCATGAATCACCCAAAATTGATTGCAAAAATTTTATGTACAGGTATATTTTTGTGGAAAGATGGTCCAACAGTAGCTTTCAATGGATTCTCAAAGAGGTTTGTGACTCAGAACGTTTTCTATAACCATCCATGTCTGGATTAGGTTCCACCCCTAAGGTCAGAGCTCCACAGCAATCTTTCCATTCATCACACTGTATTACACTATATAACTATGCAGTAATTTGTGTTTCCTTCCCCATGCCAAATAAATTGTAGAGACTTTTAGATCAATGAACATCTCTACTTTATTCCTGACTATATTCCCAGTATTCATTCTGTCTGGTACTTGACATGTAATAGGTGCTCAACAGCCATACCTTAACTGAATGAATCAATCAATTGTTCATCTGATTAAATTTTGTTCAAGCTTTAAAAATGCATCCTAAACATTCCAATTACATATCTTCAGTCAATAAGAATTTATAATTCAATTAAAATAAAATTTTTTGAGGCCAACTTTTCCATAATGGATTAAGTTACAAAGCACATCTTCCATAAAACTTTATAGTCACTTACTAGTATGTGGTTTGGATGGTTTTCCCAGCAGATAGGAACTTCTACAAGGATACTGCAAGCCTGCTTAATGGAATGAAATTTTGATGGCTTGCAATTAGTCTATAAAATAAACACTTTGGAATGATTTCATATAAAATATCTAAAACCTAAGGTATTTTCAAAATAATAGGAGAAATTGGGTATTTTCTATCACTATGTTACATATTTTTTCTTTTGCAATTTGATAGACTGTGAATCAGAAATGAATTTTAATAATTATTCCATTTTAAATCTACTAAAGGCTTTTAACACAAACTTAATTTTAAATATACTGGTATTCTCTCCACCTTGACCTACCATTGTGACACAAAGCTATTTCAACATTTTCCTCATCTCCTAGAAATTTTAATTTTGCTTCTCCATCCAAATGTCTCTGTAAATATTATTCTTTATGATTTTTGTTTTGCTAATACTATAATATCAGATATCATCATTAAACAAATGATCAATCTGGAAGAAAAAATATCCATTTAACTTTAAATACATTCACATTTTTAACATTACATGCTAAATTTTATCCTTTAAAAATTTCTAACATTAATTCTAGTGGCTTACTTAATGGACATACCGGAAACTGTGAATGCCCTGAAGTTCCTGCTGTAGAACCTCTTGTGTTGTTGCTATTAAGTCCAATGCTCCAACAAATTCAGAAGTAGATAGTAACACCTGTACTGTAGGCTGAGTCTGGTGTACAGTGGCCATTAACTTCAGCTTATTGTATACTTTAACACAATTATTTCTGGTAAGTGCCAGTCTTAAAATGTGGAGTGATCCTTCACACATTACTTTATCAATCTGTGCAATTTTATCTCGAAGCATTTTTACAGCCTGGGAAGTTTTCTTGAGGTAGTCCTGCAACTCGTGTTGAGAGGTCATTGCATGAAAAAATGCTTCTGAACGTAGAGAGATCTGGTGAGCAATGTTTACTTCCACAATATCCAGATAATGGCTCAGCTTAAAAGGGAAGGAAAAAAAATATGAAGTATTATGAGCATACCTTCCTTGATTATCCAAATACTTTATGACAATGATAAAAGATTTCCACATATACTTTAAATTCTATTGTGTGAATTGTTTGATTGTGAGATTCTTGAAATTGGGCACAACAAAATGGAAGGAAGATAAAGAGTACAGCCCAAAGATAAAAATGTAAGACAAAAGAGTACAAGGTGATTTACTTTCCTCCTCTGTTCCTATTATTACCACCTTCCAAACACCAACTGCCATCTAAAAGAGTACCCCACAGACATCTCAAATTACAATTCCAGTTTCATATATTCTAAGATCTGAGAGAAAGAGAATGATCTCCTTAGCCCCCAACATCATCACACATCATTTATCTGACTAAATAGATGATTATACCTTCCATTTATTGACCTCCTCCTATGGATTAGGCACAGGTATTTTATACACATCTAATTTTTCTAATTTTAACAATCTTGAAATATAGATATTATTATTATCATTTTACAGATGAGGAAACACAGAGTCATGTAGTTACTAAGCAGCAAAATTAAAATGTTGGTATATCTCTGACTGAAAAACTGAAGCTGTTTCTATTATACCATTCTGCCTCAAAGTGCTGAATAATCCAAGATAGGCTGATGGTTCAGTCACAAATTATACATAAGGTACTATAATTCATTTGGACTTTTTCAGGTTGCTTATTTTACATTTAAAAAGTGATTCTTTTATCAATTTGTAAAACTCAGTTTATTTCCAATGTATTTTCCCCTTAAAAGTTCGACAAACGCCTTAAACAATTAGCTCATATATATTTTATTAGTAGTACTACCAAGATTAATTCTTATATATTTAAAATGCTTTCTAAATTTCAAATATAGACTTCTAAAACTTGTTTTGCTTTTTCTTCCTTTCTAACTGCATATGCCTTTTTTGGCTATACTATCTTTCCATTTTTCACCCATTTTTTTACTTTGAGATTTTTTTAACCCACAGTTCAGACTTCAGGCATTATCTCTGAATGTCTCGGGATAATTCATAGTTTCAAAGGGTTAATGAACTTTCAACATTTAAGTCTCATAAGATTAGAAGAGACTATTTGGTCATCAAATCTGTTCCCTTAAGGAAACACAGAGTATCATTCATATTTTCAATAATGCTCCTTCAATAATCTTACAATATCTAAATAGGTTACAAACAAATTTTTCCATAGTTTAAATCTTGAGTTTATGCCCTTTTGCTCTTTCATCTTCAATATGGTTGTTCATTATTCACTAAAAAAGCAAAATCGGCACAAATGTACTAGGGTAAATTACAAGGTAACATGGACGCAATTCCCAGAATAGTAAATGGAGAATAGATAACTTTAGGACAGTGCTACCCAGAATGTGATTTATATGCTGCTGCCAATCTGTGGACTGTTTAACATAGCCATAATAAAATAAAGAATTTTGCTAGAAAGTAAATCAACCACATCATTAAGCACACTTTTTTAATGAGGTAAGCAGTGCAGTGATTTGCATTCCAGTGCAAACTCCTTATTTTACTGCAGACCAGTACTTTGCAGAGCACAATAGAATACAAATTTCGTTAATTCTAGTTATAGCATCCTTGCTCTTTAAAGCGAACACGATAAACCAGCTGTTGTCCTCATAAAAGGAGTTTAAAAGTGCTCTCTTGGAATCCTGTCTTCTATTCCTATTCTAAGAACAGAGCAGGATGAAAAGGAGTCAGAATGTAAATATAGCAAATCTGATTCTGCAATTTACAAATAAAAAAAATTTCCATTACTTTAGTCACTTTAAACATTCAGCATAAGAAAAACATTTGAGTCTGAAAGATTTTTTGAATTTTCAATAATCCATTGATTTACTCTTTTCAAGGCATAACATTTTTATAGTTTATTTCCTATTAAATGCTATAAAGGAAATAATTTTTAAATTATCTGTATTAAAAGTATCTGTATAGATTGATAAGACTACTGGCTTTTGCTGTTTTTCTCTTTTTAAGGTATTATTCTATCAGGGCATATACTTAGAATATGAAAGCCTGTGTCTTGAGTAAGCCTGTGTCTCTAAACCCATGGTTTTTGTCAGATTTATGAATTTGTTCTTATGCATGGAAAAACCTTTTTATAGGTGAAAATGTTGCCAAAGGAAAAAGCTCATTTTCATTTTCAATTGTGAGAAAAGGAATACTCATGATTCCTTCCCCACATTTCTTCTTCTCTCCTCCCCAAGCTAGTCTTTTCTCCAGTTTCTGACGAGGACTGAACCAAATTTATTGATGTCTTCCTGAGACAAGCTTTCAGATTGCCAAGGGATACCACTAAAGTAAAACAAAATCACTGCTTCTCATTTAAGAACTACCATCAGTTTTAGAAGAACTCTAAACTGAATGCTAAGAAAGAACAGAGATGAAATGTCTTTAGAAGATTCTTGATAAGTAAATTATATTTAAAGGTCTAAATATTAAATGACTTTCAAGGTGTTGACTTCTGGACTATATAGAACATTGTAAAATGTAAAGAACTGCTGACTAGTAACATGTAAAAGACTAGGCTTTGCAAAGCTACAAAAACAAGAAGAATATTGTATTTCTTTAACTAAGATATTTTTGTTTCAAAATAATCATCCCTATGTGAAAATGAAGAAAAACAGTACCTCGGAAAACATTGGTTTTCTGTGCTTTAAATCATTCTTATAAAATTAAACCATATGGGGCTGGGCACGGTGGCTCACACCTGCAATCTCAGCACTTTGGGAGGCCAAGGTGGGCAGATCATGAGGTCAGGAGTTCAAGACCAGCCTGGCCAACATGGTGAAGCCCCATCTCTACTAAAATACAAAAAATCAGCCAAGCATGGTGGTGCACACCTGTAGTCCCAGCTACTAGGGAGGCCGAGGAAGGAAAATCGCTTGAACCCAAGAGGTGGAGGTTGCGGTGAGTGGAGATTGCGCCACTGCACTCCAGCCTGGGCAATAGAGAGAGACTCCGTCTCAAAAAATAAATAAATAAAAATAAATAAAATTAGCCAATATGTAAATAAAATATCTGGGATAAATGCAAAGCAATTTATTGTGTTAGCTAATATATCCTTTCAATTATAATTCCATCAACTGCTCTTTCAGGTAAGAAGTACTCAAATAGTAAGTTTTGCCTTATTCATCTGCACAACTTGTGTTCCACTGAGCCAAAATGCTGTTAGTTTATTAGTTAAGATTGGGAGGCTTATAGTTGTCAGTAACAACAAAAATGAATTTAAAAGTACAGCTTACTAAATAACTAAATCTGAACCCATGCAAACAGTACCGCTTAACTAGAATAGTTTCCTACATGGATAAAGTCAAAAAGAAATTACCTTTTCTTGAAGCAACTTTGAGGAAGCTGCATCACGATTTCCTTTTCCACCAGCAGTATTAAAATGAGACCATGGTAAAACTGAATTAAAAGTTAAGGAATCATCCAAGGCAAAATCTGGTTTCATAAAAATCTATTAAAAAAATGCATTTCCCTCAATTAGATAAGTATTTTCCTTATACCCATTATCTCTTCTAACATCATGATCACTAAACAAAGTTAATGTGGATCTTGAGTATGAATAGCAAAAGCAAGTAATAACGGTTATTTACACAAATATCCATTAAGAAAAATGTGTAAATTTCTCACCAAGCTTAAAATACTCATAAAAGATAGAAAATGCTTTTTGCCTTTACCAATGGAGATGGTCATTCTATTACTACATGATCATACTCACTAATGCAGTCCTATAGGTACATACCAGGGCAGATATAATACTTATCCTAAAGTTTCCACATTATTTCCCATTGATAGTTTTTTAAAATGCCAAATATCAATTTCTCTAACCTATATTTCTATTTTCTCCTGCTCAAAATTGTTTTAAAATTAGTTTAGATTAAGCATACAATAAATATTAAAACCAAAACAAATTCAATTTTATGAATAGACTACTTTTCCCTTACATATCACGACCAGCTAGACAACAAGACCTATCCGTTATATTTTGTAAATATCCCTTGAATCTCTGCTTTCCTGTATCTCCACAGCATTCAGCAGTTCAGCTCTTCAATATCTCTGGATTACAGTAAATATCTATTTACTGATATGCTTCCCTAATCCATCCCCTATACTACTGTTAGAGATACTCCTCTAAAATGTTGAGTATAACTGTATTAATTTCCTGTTTAAAACTCTCAGTAGATTCCCATGACCCACAGACCAAACTATTTAGAATGGCATCCAAAACCCTTCATTGTTTTTCTGGACCCACTTACCTCTTTGTATCTTGTCACTCCCACTATTTACCCACTACACTCTAGCAATATTCAATTCTCTTCCATACTCTTATTCTTTTTATAATGCATGTATTAATATATAAAGTATGGGCTGGGCATGGTGGCTAACGCCTGTAATCCCAGCACTTTGGGAGGCCAAGGTGGGCGGATCATGAGGTCAGGAGATCGAGACCACGGTGAAACTCTGTCTCTACCAAAAATACATTTTATTAGTTTTGTTGTTATGGTGCAAGGCGCCTGTTGTTTGTTTCAGCTATTCAGGTTGTGTCTCTGTGTGCAGGAGAGAATGGCGTGTTGTTGTTGTGTTGTGCCTTATGTGTCTGTTGTGTGCTGAGATCACGCCACTGCACGTCCGCCTGGGCAACAGTGAGCAAGGACTCCATCTCAAAAAAAAGAATTTTTTTTTTTTTTTTTAGTTTTTATATATTATCTTTTATATATATCATATAAAAGATGTATATCTTTATATACAGATACATCTGGCCTAGAATGCCTTTTCTGTATAATCTTCCTGGAAAACATGATTGCAATCAAAAAGGGCAAATGTGTCTCTTCCTTATGGCATGACATAATGACTCCCATCTCTGAACCACCAAATATATCATGCATAGTTAATTATTTACCTCATACTTTATAGAAATGTTATTTGTTTAGGGATATGCATATCTCCCCCTGCGAGCCGACCCATACCTGTTTGTCTGTGTCGCGTCTACATTTTTTTAGGTTTTTTTTTGGGTGTCTCTAGTACGAAGCATAGGGCCTAAACACGTGGTTTAATCAATTGTATGTAGTTTATTTACTTTTATTTTGTATTTTATTTGCTGATTTATTTTAACCTACTATACAATGAAATTAGAATGATATGGTAGAAAAAAATCTAACTAGCGATTATTGTTTGTTAATTTTTTTTATCCCCGCTTTGGTATTGATAACTAATTTTGTTTGATTAATTCTTTTTATAAATATTTACTGACTGTTTCCGATGCTAGGCACTGAGGGAGAAACAATATAATTTAATGAAAGAGACCCTCATCTCTGGAGCTTCAATTCAAATGTGTTTGTTTGTATCATAATATGATATAAACATCTGCAAGGGAGGGACTGGGCCCGGTGGTGTTGTTTGTTATTTTCGGAGGCCAGGGTGGGCAGTCACTTGAAGTCAGAAGTTTTGAGACTTGTGTGCCAACGTAGCAAACACTCCGTCTTCCTCTAAAATACAAAAATTACCCAAGGCCGGGTAGCACGGGCGCCTATTTATCCCAGCTACTGGGGACGGGCTGACAGTAAGAGAATTGCTGGAACCTGGGAGATGGAGTGCAGTGAAGCCAAGATTATTGCCACTGAACCCAACCTGGGCAACTTTGTGTTGTATTGTTGACTCTGCCTCAAAAAAAAAAAAAAAAAATTTCTTTTAAGGAGAAGATTGTAACAAATCCTTAAAGGGGTAGCAGAGGGATGAGGGAAGAATCCCAGATAAAATGTTATGGGAATTAGGCAAAGGGGCCAATTATCTTCTGTTGGAAAGAACAAGAAAGCACCCATGTAAAGGTGCCATTTTAAGCAAAAGATTATAGAGAATTAGATATGGGAAGATGACGGAAAAGTCTTCCAGGATCAAGAAACAGTGCAAATCAAGCACAGAGCCATCAAAAAAAAGTTTGGCTGAAGTAAAGAATGTGTAAAGATTACATGAAAGTGAACAATGAGCCTTAAATGACAAACTTTGAATATTATTTTGTAGGATCAAATAAATGATAAAAACGATATCCTTCTCCCATTTTTGTGTCTTTCATCTTCTCTTTCTTACTCTAAAGAACAACTGTCAGGAGGCCGAGACGGGCGGATCACGAGGTCAGGAGATCGAGACCATCCTGGCTAACACGGTGAAACCCCGTGTCTACTAAAAAATACAAAAAACTAGCTGGGCAAGGTGGCGGGCGCCTGTAGTCCCAGCTACTCGGGAGGCTGAGGCGGGAGAATGGCGTGAACCTGGGAGGCGGAGCTTGCAGTGAGCTGAGATCCGGCCACTGCACTCCAGCCTGGCGACAGAGCGAGACTCCATCTCAAAAAAAAAAAAAAAAAAGGAACAACTGTCACAGACCTATCTGAGAATCTGATGAAGGTAATCAACTCTTCCCAGAAAAAAAAATGGATCTATTATACATCTCGACAAAATTTGTTATACAGAGTATCTCTTAATAATTTGAAGAGGTTGAATGATCAGCAAAATTTTTTTAAGGGAAAGACTTAAAAATATTTGTAAATTTCAGTGTTGAGAAAGAGAATGATGATGCAAAAGAGAAAAAACACCACAAATATACATCATTTTAACTTGTCAATTAAAAACATTTTTTCATTTAAAAAAAGGCCAGGCACGGTGGCTCACACCTGTAATCCCAGGCCAAGGTGGACGGATCACTTGAGGTCAGGAGTTGGGGACCAGCCTGGCCAACACAGTGAAACCCTGTCTCTACTAAAAATACAAAACGAAAAAAGTAACTGTGCATGTTGGCATGCACCTGTAATCCCATCTACTCAGGATGCTGAGGCAGGAGAATCACCGGAACTCAGGAGACAGAGGTTACAGTGAGCCGAGATCACAGAACTGCACTCCAGCCTGCGAGACTGAGCAGGACTCTGTCTCAAAATAAGTAAGAGAAAGAAAAGCAAAAAGAAAGACAAAGAAAGACAAAGAAGAAAAGAAAAAAAGTAAAGAACGAGAAATAAGAAAAGTGATGCAACACAGCCCAGAAGAGACAAAGTAGCCAAAGTGTCAAAAAAAAAAAAAAAGCCAAATGAAATCTCCTTGTAAGGCAAAATTAAAGATCAAATATTAAAAGGCAATTTTCTCATGTTTAAGCTTTGTTACCTTAGGTACTTGCTCCAGATCTGTCCTGGATTTATCTATTTAAAAAAGAAGGGAAAATATTATTTTTAAAACTTGTTTTCATTTTAACTCCATAAAGTACATTTTGACAGGTTCAATATTGTACTGGGTCACATCCAAATAGCTACTTAAGTTTATTCCTTCAACAAATATCTATCAAGCACCTATTATATGCCTAGTCGTGGGCAAAGCACTGAACAAAACAATGTTTCAAGTAATTGTAATCTATTACATAGCAGCAATAAAACAGCTAAATACATCTCAAATCTTTTTAATCAGACATAACAAGGCTTTATGCTATCTCAGTTGTCCTCAACCCCCAGGCCACGAACGGGTAGTGATCCATGGCCTGTTAGGAACCAGATCACACAGCAGGAGGTGAGCAGTGGCCACAAGCAAAGCTTCATCTGTATTTACAGCTACTCCCCATAGCTCACATTACCATCTGAGCTCCACCTTCTGTCAGATCAGTGGTGGCACTAGGTTCTCATAGGAGCACAAACCCTAATGTGAACTGCACATGTCAGAGATCTAGGTTGTGCTCTCCTTATAAGAATCTAATGCCTGACTATCTATCACTGTCTCCCATCTCCCCCAGATGGGACCATTTAGTTCCAGGAAAATAAGCTCAGGGCTCCCACTGACTCTACATTATGATGAGTTGTATAATTATTTCATTATATTTTACAATGTAATGGTAGAAATAAAGTGCATAATAAAGGTAATGTACTTGAATCATCCCAAAACTATCTCCCCACAAACCGCTTGGTCTGTGGAAAAATTGTTTACCACGAAACCAGTCCCTGGTGCCAAAAAGATTGAGGACTGCTGTGCTATCTTTTTAAATTTTGGTAAGATTGAATATGGCATGCTACGTAGATTTTTTTTAATGAATTAAATTCTAAAGTAGGAATACTGTTTTTATTGTTTAAAAGATCTATCATCCCTTCCAGAATTTCTTATGATCAAAGGTTGCTTTTTTATACTATATTAATTTTCTTCTCAGTCATCTTAAGGCTGAGATACACACTTATCTTCAAATGAACCTACTTTACTTTCATCCTGCCAATCCAAACTTAGATAAGGTACTACTCTCCTCTTCAAAACCAACCTTTCTGCACTTAGACTCCATTCCCTCCTGCCTCTGCCGTCAGGTTAATCAGTTTATTCTGTCTGTCTCGGTACCTTCAGCCTCTTCCCTTGTACTAGCTCTCTTATCTCTGTATATAAACATGCTCAGTTCTTTCCCATTAAAATGTGTATATATATACACACATACACACATATATATTATATATATATATATATATATATAAAGAAAAAGATAAAACTCGGGGCCAGGACCAGGTTGAGGCAAGGGTGGGACCTCAGATGCAAAAGTACTCACTCTCAGGGATAGTCAAATGCCTCTCTTACCTGATCTAGTCCTGGCCATGAAAAAATATTCTTCCACTCTGTTCCCTGTAGTCAATAATCTATCTCAAATCTTTTAGTGACATAATACTAGTAGTCTACATTTCTTTCTCTTATACTCACTCCTTAATACATAGTATTGAGGTTTCCGGACCTGCCATAAATGCTCTCCCTGAGATGTCCTAATTGCCAAAACAAAGGAGACTTCTCAGTGTACAAATCAATCTATCCCTGAAGTATTCTGACATTATAGACCAACTAATTGTTCTTACTTTCTGAAATCCTTGCTAGCTTTAACTTTTAAGGTGCAATTCTCTCTTGGTTGACTTTCCTATCTCTCTGACCACTTTCTGTCTCCTTCACAGGTGTCTCACCTTCTGTCGGCCCATTAAATGCGACAGCTTAATTAGTGCTCCATCACCAGTCGTTTTCTTCTCACTACTCACATCTTCCCTGGGCAATCTCACCCAATGTCCTTGGATTCAACCACCATGCTATTGTCCAGCATACTTGTCTATGATGATATCTACGATACCTACATCTTCAGCCTAAATCTTCAACCTGAGCTCCGCATTGCCAAAAAGGCATGTCCTTCACTGCAAATCTGCAACTAAACTTGCCTCCATCTCCCTCAAAATTCCTCCTCCTATATTGCCTCTCTCACTGAATTGCACTGTCACCCACCCAGTTGTCCAAGCAAGAAACCTGGGAATTGTCCTTGAATCATCTTGCTCCATTACCAATAACTGGCCACCAAAACCTGTGTCTCAATCTCTGAGTTACTTCCCAAAGGCCTAATTTCTTCTCCATCTCCATTGTAACTGTTACTGGAATATCATTTCTCATTTGTATTACTGCAGTAGCCTCCACTGTCTCCTTGCCTCTAGTCTAATCATCATCCCATAATTCACCATCCACAACTATTTTCACATAAAAGTATAATCATAAATCCGATCATGCCTAGTTAAAAATACTATGTAGCTTTATAGTGTCTTCAGAAAAAGTAAAATCCCTTATCACAGCATATAAGTTTCTTCATGATCTGACCCCTGTCTATGCTTCAGTCTCATTTCTTGCTCCCAGTAGAACCAACATATAAACTCTTACAGTTCCTTGAACATTCTGTTCTCTCTTTATTCTATGGCTTTGTATAAACTATTCCCTTTTCTTGGAATGTCTTCTCCCATGTAAATGTTTCAAACTAACGACTTTAAAACACACGGAATCACTGTCAACTCTAGGAATGCTTCTAAAGCTAAGTTAGGCATGTTATACAACTTTACCACACTGAACTTACTCTTTAATATACAACGATACAATTATTGGTTTATTTCTTTAAACTTATTCAGGAGAACATCAGTTCTTTGAGGACCAAAGCTACTTTTTACTCATCTATAGGTTTACTTTAAGGTCTCACTACATTACTGTTCTCAAACTCACAGGATCAAGCAATCCTCCCACCTCAGCCTCCCAAGTAGTTGGGAATATACACATGTGCCATCATGTCTAGCTTACTCATCTATTTTTAAGCAACAAGGAACATACCAAGCACGAAGATATTCAATCAATATTTGTTGAACTGAAGGATTATACTACTGTCAGATCTATTTTTCTCTTAGAAGTTCTCAGAAAATATTATAATCATAAGTTATAAAAATTTTACTAGAAATAAAAATTATAGATATAATAGGCAATAAGGTCTCAAAATAAAGATCTTGTTCACTAATATTTATGCTATGCTTTATTATCTATAAATAACACATATTCATACCATGAGTATGTAAAAGAGTCCTTTCAAAGGTATCTTTAGGAGGACAAATATTCTTGCATCTCTCATGAATCTTCTCTCTCTAATAAAAAGACAAATAACATGATCAATGTATGTGTAAACATGAGTATTCAAAGCAAGAAAATGTTTTGCAACAGAATATCAGAATATGCCACATTAGTCCTACGACTTTGAATATGAATCAGTAGCCCCCTAAACTTAAATACAAGTAACGAGTGTGCTTAATAAACCAAATACCTCTATGAGATCTACACACATCCATATACCTATATCCATTCCATCTTATATAATTATAGTAAATTCTCCATATTTAGAATAAAGTGGGAAAGCAAATGGAAAATATTTATATAACAAATCAATTAGAAGAATAATTTGAATCAAGAAAGAAAATTCAAAAACCTATATATTTAAGATAGAAAGATAGAAATTAGGCCAGGTGCTGTGGCTCACACCTGTAATCTCAGCACTTTCAGAGGCCAAGGTGGGCAGATCACCTGAGGTCAAGAGTTCAAGACTAGCCTGGCCAACATGGTGAAACCCTATCTCTACTAAAAATACAAAAATTAGCCAGGAGTAGTGGCGCACACCTGTAATCCCAGCTACTGCAGAGGCTGAGACACAAGAATCGCTTAAACCCAGGAGGCGGAGGCTGCAGGGAGCCGAGATCGTGTCAACCAATGCACTCCAGCCCGGGTGGCAAAGTGAGACTCCAAGGAGGGAGGGAGGGAGGGAAGGAGGGAAGGAGGGGAGGAAGGAAGGAAGGAAGGAGGGGAAGGAGGAAGGAAGGAAGGAAGGGAGGGAGGGAGGGAGGGAGGGAGGGAGGCAGGGAGGGAAGAATTATTGACACGTTCTGAGTCAAAAAACAAAAAAAATCTCACTCTGATTTAGAATCAGATGAACACTAACAACATTATTATATTTTCAGAGATATCACCGAAAGGATACCTGAGAAAGTGAAGTGTGGTAACAAGAAAAGCAGCAGGCCAGCAGTGTTCAGAGTTCTGGTAGCAATTCTATCAGTTACTACAGGACTGTTTTCCAAAGTGGCCATACCACTTTGCATGCCCACCAGCAATAAATAAGAGTTCCTGTTGTTCTATATCCTTGTCAACATTTGGTATTGTCAGTGTTTTAGATTTTTGCTATTCTAATAGATATGTAATGGCATCTCATTTTAATTAGGAATTCCTTAATGACATTTGATATTGAGCATCTTTTTATATGCTTATTTGCCATCTGCATTATCTTCTTTGGTGAGGTATTCAGATCTTTTGCTCTTATTTTTGAAGGTAAAACATATATAACATAAAATTTATCATGTAAAATTATTTGCTATGTTGACCATCTTTTCATGTGTTAATTGCACACTTCTCTATCTTTTTTGGGAAAAGGTCTATTAAGTCCTTTACTCATTTTTTAATTTGGCTGTTTTGTTGTTGTTAACTCCTTCGTTTATTTTTGCTACCAGTCCCTTTTTATTTTTTGAGACAGGGTCTAGTTCTGTTGCCCAGGCTGAAGTTCCTCACTGTAACTTCAAATTTCAGGGCTCAAGCGATCCTCCTGCCTCAGCCTCCAAAGCAGCTAGGACTACAGATGCACACCACATGCCTAATTTTTCTAATTTTTTCTTGTAGAGATGGGTTCTTACTATGTTGCCCAGACTGGTCCTGAACTCCTGGTCTCAAGTGATTCTCCCACCTCCACTTCCTAAAGTGCTAGGATTACAAGGAATAAGCCACCACACCCGACCGTCAATCTTGTAACAGATACATGTTTTGTAAATATTTTCTCCCAGTCTTTGGCTTGTCTTTTCATTCTGTTAACAGTGTCTTTCACAGAGTAGAACTTTTTAATTTTAATGAAGTTCAACTTTTCAATTTTTTCTTTCATGGATTGTGCTTTTCTCATATCTAAAACGTCACTACCAAACCCAAGGTTACCTAGATTTTCTCCTATGTTATCATCTAGAAGTTTTATAGTTTTGCATTTTACATTAAGGTCTATCATCAACTTTGAGCTAATTTCCATGAATAGTGCAAGGTGGTGTGTCTATATTCTTTCTCTTTGGTATGTGGATGTCTAGTTGTTTCGATACCATTTGTTCAAACAACTATCCTTTCTCTATTGAATTACCTTTGCCCCTTTGTTAAAAATCAGGTGATTGCATTTGTGTGGGTCTATTTATGGGTTCTCTGTTCCACTGATCCGTATGTCTATTCTTTCACCAATACGACATTGTCTTGATTACCGTAGCTTTATAGCAAAACTTCAAATTGGGAGGTATCAGTCCTTCAGTTTTGTTCCTCTTTTAATACTGTGTTAGCTATTCTGGGTCTTTTTCTATATAAGCTTTAGAGTCAGTTTTCAATATTCACGAAACCAACTGCTAGGATTTTAATCAGGATTATGTTGACTCTATTGATCAAGTTGGGAAAAAGAGACGCCTTGACAATATTGAGTCTTCCTATCCACATATATGAACTACCTCTTCATTTATTTATTTAATTTCTTTCATCAGAGTCTTGCAGTTTTCCTCAGATAGATCTTATATATATTTAGATTTATACATAAAGGCTTCATTTTCTTTGATGCTAATGTAAATTGCATTGGGTTTTTACTTTCAAATTCCAACTGTTCACTGCTGGTATATAAGAAAGTAATTAATTTTATATATTAACCTGGTATCTTGCAACCTTACTATAGTCACTTATTAGTTCCAGGAGTTTCTTTTTGGATTCTTTGGGATTTTCCACACAATCATTTCATCTGGAAACAGTTTTACTTCTTCCTAATTTTTATATATTTTATTTCCTTTTCTTGTCTTATTACATTAGTTAGGACTTCCAAGACAATGTTAAAAGAAATAGTGAGATGGGACATCCTTACCTTGATCCTGTTCGTAGTGGGAAGCATCTAGTTTCCCCCATTAGCTATAGAGTTTTTGTAGATTTTTTTCTCTCTTGAGACAAGAGTCTCACTCTGTCGCCCAGTCTGGAGTGCAGTGGTGTAATCTTGGTTCCCTGCAACCTCCACCTCCTGGGTCCAAGTGATTCTCATGTCTCAGCCTCCCAAGTAGCTGAAATCGCCATTGCAAAATTATAACTGAGACAGTGAAAGAGATCTGACCTAACCAACTCCATCTTGCTTCTAACCTCCAACGTGTTCTTGTCCATTCTTGGGCACAGGGTGAACTAACTTTGGGAGGAATTTAGTTTATAGTTTAAAACAAAGACGATAACAGTCCTTTTCCAAAACAAAACCACCTTCTTGCCTGGGGGCTAGACTGCCTTTGTTGGACTAACAAATTAGCCACAAGAAATTACGGTTTAGGGGTCAAGTCATGCAGCTGGAGACTACAAGATTCTGACCCTCCCCCTAAACTGCTCCTAAGATCCACGCTTGAGATATTTTGCAGACGCTGTACTTGATGGATTAGCTGGTACCACCCAGATCAATAAACTGGCTCATCTGACCTTGTGGGCCCCACCCAGGAACTGACTCAGCACATGGAGATGGCTTCTCCCTATGATATCATCACTGACCTGACCAATCAGCACAGCCAGCTCACTGGATTCCCCTCACCCACCAAGATGTCCTTAAAAACTCTGATCCTCGAATGCTCGGGGAGACTGATTTGAGTAATAATAAAACTCTAGTCTTCCACACAGCCAGCTCTGCATGGATTCCTCATTCTCTATTGCAATTCCCCTGTCTCAATAAATCAGCTGTCTAGGCAGCAGGCAAGGTGAACCCATTGGTGGTTACATAGCTGGGATTACAGGCGTGTGCCACCATGCCCAGCTAATTTTGTGTTTTCAGTAGAGATGAGTTTCGCCATGTTGGCCAGGCTGGTCTCAAGTCCTGGCCTCAAGCATCCTGCCAAAGTGCTGGGATTACAGGCGTGAGCCGGCACGCCTAGTACATTCTTTATCAAGTTAAAGAAATTCCTTCCTGTTCCTAGTTTGCTGAGAGTTCTTTTTTTAAAAAAATAATGAATGGCCAACACGGGCAGACTGTTTGAGCTCAGGAGTTTTAGACCAGCCTGGACAACATGGCAAAACCCTGTCACTACAAAATATACAAAAATTAGCCAGGTATGGTGTTGTGGTGGTGCTCACCTGTAGTCCCAGCTACTTGGGGGGTGCTGAGATGGGAGGATTGCTTGAGCGGGGAGGTTGAGGCTGCAGTGAGCTGTGATTGTGCCACTGCACTCCAGCCTGGGCAACACAGCGTGACCTTGTCTCAAAAAAAAAAAAAAAAAAAAAAAAAAAAAAAGACTCTAATTTTTAGTTATCAGTTCTCCAAATAAC